GTGCAGGACTCACATTGGATGGCCCGGAAGCGGGGGAAGGTGGGGGACCCTCCGGCCCCTCCCTCGGCCACGTTGCGCCGGTCCAGCCCAGGAGACGCCTGGACGGTGATGCGGTGCTTGAAGTCTGTGGGGGAGGGGAGTGAGGGTGAGACATGGCCCGATGCCCCTCACACCTGACCCGCAGCACCTGCACCCCCCCTCCCCCCCGTCTTGCTGAGGCCCCTCACTCCCAGCCCACAGCCCCCTCACCCATGTCCCTCAGTCCTGCCCTGCAGCCCCGCCCCGGGCAGTACCAAGGGGCATGCTGATGCGGTCACCGCCGTCCCGGCCCTTGCTCTTGGCGCGCCGGAAGGTGCCGCGGCGGCGCTTGAGCAGGGGGGGCTGACGGGCAGCCTGCTGCAGCAGCAGGCTCAGCTCCCGCTCGAAGACCTCCAGCTCCCACTGGGCCAACTGGTGCTCGCGCTGCCGCAGCGCCTCCTCCTGGCACTTCTGCTCCACCGCTGCCCGCGCCAGCTCCTCCTCCCGGCTCAGCAGCTCCTGGGGGGGGGGAGGAGGGGTCACCAGGGCTGTGGGAGGTCATCAGGGGCACAGGGCGGGTCAGAGCAATGAGGCCACCAAGGGGTGCTGGCGGGTAGTGATAGGGGAGGGGCAACACAAGGTTGCCAGGGGATGCTGGGAGGGTAGCGTGAGGTCACTGGGGGGAGATGGGAGACCCCTGGGGAGCGGCGCACCTTCTCACGGGCGCGCAGCTGGTCAAACATGGCCTGGATCTCCAGCTGCCAGTCATCCTGCAGTGAGTGGAAGGAGCCAGGAGGCAGCTCAGCCAGGCCCTGCTGCTCCAGCGCCTCCAGCTGGCTCAGCACCGCTCCGAAGCTCGGCCGCTCGTGGGGGTCCTGGTCCCAGCACTCTTCAATGGGGGGGAGGGGAGGGGAGGGGTCAGGGAGGCCTCTGCACCCCTCTCCTCTTGTGCGAGGAACCCCCCAAAGCAGCCATCAGCTCCTTCCCTGCTGAAGGAACCCAGGTGTCCGGGCTCCCGGCCTCCTGCTCTGATCCCCCCACCCCGTACAAGGAGAGGACCCAGGTGTCCAGGATCCCGCACGCCCCCCCCCGGGGACACAGGCCTTGGGCTCACCAGCCATGAGCTGGGCAAAGGGCTCGGGGCAGGTGGATGGGATCGGCAGTGTCAGCTTGTTGACGGCGACGCCGTAGGCCACGGCCAGGCCATCGATACCACGATAGGGCACCTCGCCCGTCAGCAGCTCCCACAGCAGCACCCCGTAGCTGGGGGGACAGGGGAGCGAGTGAGGGCCTGGGTGGGGGCCCCCAGGCACCCCCAGAGTTGGGAGGGGCGACCAGGCGTCCAGGCTCCCACCAACCCCTGCTGGGACGGGGAGCCCAGGAGTCCGGGGACTGCGAACCCCGGCGTCCAGGCTCCAGGGACGGGGAACCCCGGCGTCCAGGTCAGCCCCCACCTCCAGACGTCGCTGCCGCGGGAGAAGGTGGAGGACTTGATGACCTCGGGTGCCATCCAGGCGTAGGTGCCGGCCGCGCTCATCTTGGTGGTGCGGTTCCACTCCCGCGCCAGCCCGAAGTCCGTGATCTTCAGCGTGTTCCCGCCCGGTGCCTCTGGGTCCACGGGCTCCGCCAGCAGCACTGCAGGGGCAGGGGTCAAGGCTCAGTGCCCAGAGTCGTGGCTCCCAGCCGGAACTGCCCCCCAGGATCGGAGCCTCTAGATCCCAGCCCCCCTGGCCAGGATTGGGCCACCCCGTCACCCCCGCCCTCTGGATGGCACTTCCTGTCCCACCCCGAGTCACTTCCTCTTTCCAGGCGGGCAGGAGAGTGGGAATGGGCAGGGAGAGGACCCCCGCGTCCGGGCTCCCTGCCCCCTGCTCTCGCCCCCAGGCCCCACTGCCCTCCCAGAGCTGGGACAACCCAGGTGTCCAGGCCCCCAGCCCCCAGCTCTGACCCCCCACCCAGCGCTGGAGGAAGCCCAGGCGTCCAGGCTCCCCGTGACCCGCCTGCGCAGCAGGAAGGTTCCCAGAGCCAGAGAATGGACCCTTTGTCCTGCCCCCCCTACAGCCCCCCCGCCCCTCCTCCACCCTGGGGGGGGGGCAGGAAGTCAGGGCAGGATGTGGCTGCAGGAAGTGGAGCTGGGAGGCTCTGGCCAGGCTGGGGGGGCGGTGCATCCCCTGCCTGGCCCCACCCTCATCATCAGGACCCTCCCCCCAGGGGGCAGTTGTGGCCCCCTTGGAGCTGGGGATGGAACCGGTCAGACAGGATGGGGCAGGATGATGCCCCAAGGCCCCCTCCTCCGGGAACCCGGGTGCTCTGGGAGGGGAGGGGGGTCTACGGGGTGAGAGCAGGGGGACTGGGAGCCCAGACGCCTGGGTTCCCCCCTTCTGGGTGAGCCATGGGGCGGAGCAGTGACCTTTGACCTATGCTCCAGGCCTGGCCGTGGGGGGGAGCTCCCATCATGCCTTGCAGCCGCGGGTGGGAGGTGGAATGCGGCTCTGCCGGGCGCGGACTTGAGGGGGGTGGGGGGCGGGGGCAGCCGGACCAACTGACGGACACGGGGCCTCTTGTGTGCCATGGTGCACACACATGCTCATGTGCACAGGGGGGCTGGTGCCTGGGCAGAACCCAGGCGTCTGGGCTCCCAGCGCCCCCCGCTCTCACCCCCAGCCCCCACTCCTCTCCCGGAGCTGGGGAGAACCCGGGCAGGCGTCCAGGGTTGGGAGCAAGGAGCACTGCTTTGGGGTCCCAGGACTGGGGGTACCTGGGCAGGGGTGAGCGTCAGGAGGTCACCTAGTCGGGTTACAGGACTAGGTCAAGGATTGGGGAGCACCTGGCCAGGGTCAGGGGACATCAATTTGGGGTCAGGGTCCTAGGTTTGGAGGGAGGGTCATTGCGAGAGGGTGAGGGGTCATGTGAGGGGGTACAGAGTTCAGACTGGTGGGGGGGGTCACCACGGCAGGGTGAAGTCCCAGGAGCAGGGTGAAGGATCAGGGATCACCAGGTCAGGGGTAACCTGAGCAGGGCCAAGAGTCGCCAGGGCGAGCTAAAGGGTCATACGCCAGGGTGAAGCGTCGGAGGTCACCAGGACAGAGAAGCGTCAAGGGTCAGGGTGAGAAATCAGGGATTACAAGGGCAAGCTACAGAGTTATAGATCAGGCTGAAAAATCAAGGGTTTACCATGGCAGGGCGAGAGGCTGGGGGCCACCAGGGCAAGCTAGTGGGCTACGGACCAGGGCAAAGGATCAGCCATCAGGGCAAACTAAGGAGTGTCGGGGCAGGGCGAAGAGTCAGGGGTCACAGGACAGGGATGAAGCCTCCAGGGTCAGGCTGAGAGGTCAGGGGTCACCAGAGCAAAGTAAGGGGTCAAGACTAAGAGTCAGGGATCGCCAGGATGGGGGGAAGCCTCAGGGTTGAGGCCAAGGCGTCGGGGGCCACAGGCCAGAGTGAAGACTCAGGTCAGCGGGACTGGGTGAAGCCTCAGGGGTTGGGTAGTCACCAAGGCATGGAGGGGGGGCAGCCTCAGGGGTCAGGGGTTACGGGCCAAGGTGAAGAGTTGGGCATCACCAGGACGGGGAGCAGCCTCCAGGGTCAGAGAAGAGCCAGGGGTCACCAGGACGGGGGGCACTCACCGTTGTTGGACTTGAGGTCGCGGTGGATGACGGGCACGGCGTGCAGGTAGCGCATGCCGCGGGCGATCTGCAGGGCCCAGTCCACCAGCACGGCGGGCGGGAAGCGGCGCCCGGCCAGCGCGCGG